CTGCCCTCCCACCACGAAAAAGAAACCCACGCTGCTTCCTTCGCCGATTGCGTTCGCCGCCGCCACCGTCAGTTTCGCCGTCGACTCCTTGCCGCCGGGACACCGTACGCCTTCGCCTTCTATCACCTTTGCCGCCGACGATTTTTTTGTTAGCATTTCGTTCCTTTTTTCCTCTTAACTTCCTATGAGTTAAACTAATTAGAACTTGAAGCATGTTCAACTGAATAGCATAAAATTTTTTGCATTCCTAACATTACCATTCAACCAAATTGTTAGGACGACATCTTCAACTTTCTTTGTATTGGAAACTTTGTATTGTAGCGTTCATCGAATGTTGGTACATTTAGTATTTTTATGCTAAATTTACACATATCATACCAAAAAAAAAAAAAAATGATCCCAGTGTCTGTGCCCTAGTTTTGTAGAAATGGACTTATCGCCGTGTGTGTGGTTCTTAGGTTATCTGTCATGTTATTTACCATCTTCAATATCCAGAGATTACGTTTCTTTTCTTTTGGTTTTCAGGGCTTCTGTGAATTCTCTTGTGAAGTATCAATCGAGTTAGCAGTCAAGTTATCATGGTTGGTTGGCAGCGATATGTTCGGTCTATGCTTGGCCATGTGCAGAAGAGAGTGGAATTGAGTTACAATGTAGCTGCCAACTCTAATTGTTATCGCTTGCAATCCTCCCTCTCATATGGTCAGTTGTACTTCCTTTTGGATAAATGTATGAATTATATAATAAGACGTTCTTCTAGCCCATTCAAGCTTTAGTTATTCATCAACACATTAGACATGTATGTCAGAAATGAAAATGGGGTTTACTTTTGAAATATGTTTGAAGTGTATGTGTTTACTTGACTTGTCATTAACTTTGCACTATAATTGTTTTCTTTTCAACTGTTTTTGTGGTTTTTTAATAATATAAATTACTGTTATAAAAAATATTATTTTTTACCCTTGTACTTAGATATGTTTGTCAATTTTTGTTCACCCTTGTACTAAGTTGTTAAATTTAAGCCTTAAAAGTTTTAATTTTATCAAGACTTGAATAACTCATGAAATTACTCATTAGAACTTCTGATTTCCTTCTTAATTTAGAGTGGAAACCTATTGTTCAGCGGCTAACCTTTGGTTTGGATAACAATCTACCTGAAAGTTGTTCAGAAAAAAACTAGCCAATCGACCAACTAAAACCTAGGACACAGACACGGTGATACATGTCAATTAAGTTTCCTCATTTTTTATACCCTCCTAAAAACTAAATTAGGAAATTACAGTTGAAATGTTTTTAAGAATAGTTTAAGCTTTCGAAAAAAGCTTCCAAACAACCCCACTCCTTAGCAATCAACTTGCTCTGGTCAACCGCTTGAAGCTTACCAAGGTCTGTTTTTTGAGTGTCACTTTGCAAGTTTTGCAAGTTCAAATTAGAGATTTAATTGGAACCGATCAATTGTGTGAAGTCATATAAAAGAAGCAAAGCTTTAATGAAATTGTATCAACACACAGTTGCCCATGGTGCATTTTTGCCAAAATGATAACGAGAACGCAAGTTTATTGATTATGTTGTTACAAATAATAAGTCCTATAAGCTCCTATATGAATATGGAGTTCCTGATCTTTCACCATTTTATTGGATAGGTCACAATCCCGATGTTTCGTCTTTCAAAGAGGACTTCTCCTCTTGAAAGTGTTAAATGTTTCGCTTCTGACTAAAATCAATATAACCACAGCACAATCTTAGAATTGAAGTTCCTGAGTTTCTCCAATTTCTTATGCAGGGGAGTTGCCTTATCTACAGAGACTTTTGAAACCATCTTCAGCAGGCATTACACAACCTTATTATCAGTGCCTCCAGCAGATGGTACACTCGCTGGCTATACCATCCATTGAATCTCTATGAAATTAATCCTTCATTTTTTGAAAGAAAAGTTATTTCTGAAAACAAATCTTCAGGGTATTTGTGGTTTCTTTTCACAAAATACTTGAATATATTTTATTTTCTGAAAAATGCYTTCGTCCTGTTCTACCTTTTTTCCTTTTACAGGGAATTTCCAGTTCAAGGTTTTTACTTGCCGATAAATCTGAGGAAGCAGCAGTTTCATCACCTCTGACCTCTGCTTTGGCTTTAAGTAGTGGAAAAGAAGGAGATAAAGACCAAAAAGTAGTATCTAAACCTTCCAAAGTCCAAGCTATATTAAAGGGAATCAAACAGGTATAGTCTTTAGACTTTCTCTTGTTACTAACTCATCAAAAGCTTGAGTAAAAGAGAGAAAAGCTATAGCTTAAACTTGCAAACTTATTTTAGTTTGAGATTCTAGAATTACAGAAGTTGATAAATGTTAAAGTTTTAATGATATTTAATTAATGCTTAATCAACTTGCTTACTATATGACCTCTTGGCCCCATTTCTGGAACCAACTTTTAGCCGTTTACCGGAAGTATTTTCTTAGTATTGGGTTTTGGACTTTTTTCTGTCCGGAATATTTTCCCTCCGGTCAAGTGTGGTAACCCATTTTCTGTTAATTAAAGTTGGTTTCCAAATAAAGAAAAGTATTTACCTTTTCTTTTGACACATCAAAGAAACAGTTAATACGTTGGTGACATTTGAATTGTTCTACCAGAGTCCCAAGAAAGTCAACTTGGTTGCTGCATTAGTTCGAGGCATGCGTGTCGAAGATGCACTGTTGCAGTTACAATTGACTGTAAAGCGTGCTTCAAAAACTGTTTATCAGGTGAAACACTAATTTACATTACACTGTGATCTGAGTATTTCATTGATTTCATTTTTTGGGAGAGTTTTAACTCTGGTGAGAAATCAGCATTCAAATACTTGAGTCTGGTCAACCTGTTTTGAAGATTGGGCTCCTGGTCTTGGCACATAAAAAGGGAGAGGGATGGGGGAAAATGTATCTAGGACCAGGACTAGACCAAAACGAGAACTTTCATTTTTTTTTTGAATTATTATTGTTTTAATTTTTTATTTTTAGATCTATGAGCATTCGGCCTCCAGGGGAACTTTTTGGCTATGCTATATTTGGTTGTCAAGGAAACTTATGGAATATTAAATCCTAGGTATTGGTGGGGCTGAAGCAACTTGACTAATCTCRCGAGACAATTAATTGATTCTACTATATTTAGTTGTTAAGAAAACTTATTGGATATTAAATCCTAGGTTGGTAGGTGGTTGGTGGTCACCATGATTTGAACTCGTTTTCTCTGTGTTGTTTACTCTTATTATTAATTTTTAATTGCCCTTAAATGACCCGTAGGCCAACCCATAGTGGTCACTTTTATTTCTCCAAAAGGCCATTTGAACAATATAATAATTAATGGTTTGGGAGCTGGATGGAGACTGTTGGAAGATTTAGACATTGACCTTGCTAGTTAATGTGAGTTCTATGTTACAAATTGTGCTCCCATTTGTTCTGGCAGATGCACCCTCTTTTGGCATTGATAATATTTACGAACGTTTTCTAAGAACTTTTCGTGTCGTGAATTTGTATTTGTGAAGGTCATTCACTCGGCCAAAGCAAACGCAACCCATAATCATGGAATGGATTCAGATCGGCTCCTTGTTGGTAAATGAAGCAATCAAAGATAACCCGGTGGTTATATTTTATGGTTTCGTTTTTCTGACTTGTTGCTATTTTGTACAGCTGAGGCATTTGTGGGCAAAGGATTCTTTAAGAAAAGAATATCATATCATGCTAAAGGAAAATGTGGAATTAAAGTCAGACCAGAATGCCGGCTAACAGTTGTTGTTAGGGAGATAACACCTGAAGAAGAGGCAGAGATAGCCAAGCTGAGAGTTAGCAATTTCCGCAAGCTGACCAAGCGTGAAAGTCGGCTCGTACCTCATAAGCTTATTGAAACCACGCCAATCTGGAACCGAAAAGGCAAAGCTAGAGCAAATGAAGAAGGTCGAATGGCTTCATAAGTTTTAACGGCCTCCAGTTGAGTTTCTTCATCTCTTTCTGCCGATGCATTGTTTTCTTCCATGTTCTTTTGTTCTAGACAAGTTAGGGAGGAAAAGTGATTTAATATGGAGAATGTAAGGATACGTTTTGCATAAGGGAGCAATCACATTGTGTTATTTTTCTTACATTCTTGTATAGATCATGTGGCCTCACTCGGCGAAGATTTACTTTCATTTAGGGTATGTTTGGGAGTGGTTTTGACATGTCATTGTCAAAATCACTTCCTTTTTCCTTCATCACGAATTAAAAATTTTGATTTTAAGAAAGCTTTTGGATGTTGATTTTGGAAAACCAATCATACTCAAATCCTTTTTTTCAAAATTTCTAATTATACCATTACTCCCAAACACATCCTTAGTTTATACCATCTTATAATAATTTTGTTTTTATGAGTCAATGGAATGAATCTCCATCTCCAGAAAACAGAAGTTTTTTTTTCCATTCATTTTTTAGGACATGAACGAGGTCCTGTGTAATTCATGGAAGCCTTCTTAACAAACTGCGATGGTTTGTTTTAATTTTTTTTATCTCTCTTTTCAACGAAATCATTCTGTTGGTTGTAATATTATTACCCTTTTTAATTTAAAAAATCCACACTTATCATGTGTAGTTTTATATTAAAGAACTTATATTTCAAAATTATATTGTTTAATTATTATCCATTTCATTTAATACTTTTTCATATTTTAATTATATTATTCTTCTAATTATTTTTTTTATAAACATATACTCTTCCAAAATATTCTTTATATTAAATTATATAATATATTCCAATAATCATTATCTAATATATATTTTTTTATTTTAATCTTCTAATATAATAAACATATACTCCTCCAAAAAGTCATATAATATATTCTAAGGATGATTGTATAATATATTTTTCATTTTAATCTTCTAGTATACAATACGATAAACATATATTTCTCTAAAATGTTGTATAATATGTATTTTTCAGGTTATATGCTAAACTTGAATGTTATTTAATATTTTTTTTATATAACTTACAGTATGGTAATAATATACTCAAATATGTTATACAATATACAGTGGTATATAGTTTTTTCTCCTTTGTGACACAATCTAGTTTTTCCTTCAGAAACAAAAATCCTAGACACTTCATTCTTCTCTTCCTTCACCAAAGTTTTTGTTGTGGTTGGAATGACTTCTGTGGGAAGTAGAGCTCGAAGATCTGGTCGAATCAAACAATGTAGGAGAACGAGATGGAGGATACAGATTGCGTGGTGTTGCCGACTGAGGGAGGTCACCGCCGTCTGATGCTGCTGTTGTGGTGTCGTCAAATTATTTAGGAGCCCTCTAATTCTCTCTTTCGATTATCAGATATCAACAATAGAAGAGAGTTTTATCCATTACCAAAAGAGAAAATATATCATTTTAAATCTTTGACATAGATAAAAACTATCATATTTTTTTTTTAGGTTTTCCCTAGATAGAATCCGTCTCATTTGGGTTTTGTGAAGGTAGTTCATACATGCCCTTTTACAAGAGAACTTGTCAAGAGTCACTCTTTTACTAGCCATTGCTCTGTCCTCCTCAACTTTGGTTAACACATCTGCTCCTGAACCTTGTTTAAAAAAAGAAAGCCAAAAAAAAAAAGATCTCATTTGATCATATTTGTCCAAACAAAAGACAACATTCAGTATCAAATTTAACTCCAATCTTGTCCTTTAACAAAAGGCCAAACACACATCCACCCCCACCCTGAAAAGCAGGAAAATCCCCATATCTCAGAGCAGTACCAAACAACCAAAAGAACAAAGATACAATAAAATTTCTCAATATCTCAGAAAAAAGCCACATTGTGACCCTAAAATTGAGGCCATCATCACTGGCGGTGGAGTTAAGTAGAAGAAAGAGAGAATCTTTCATTCAGGACTTTCCTCAAACACCTTCACAGCATTACCTTTTTCTCTTAAAAGAAATATGTAATGAACAGGCAAAAGGCAAAAGGAAAACTTCAGTTACCTTCAATGATATGGCCTTTGGAGCAACGCAAACTGGAACAGATGCCCTGCCCACTGATCCAGGGAGATGACATTGGAATTTGAGAGAGTGGTTATGGTTTTTTTTTCCTTCTTCTTTTTTATGGAGAATTTTTTTTTTTTTTTGGTTAGGTAAGAGATAATGAGGCTATGTGTCATGAACCCATGTGCATACTTTCATCACTTCATTGTGTGTGATTCATCTTCAAGCATTTTTCCCTCCTTTTTATTTATTAAAAAGGTTGCGATATTGATCCCGACACGTCTCTGTACTTTGAATTGTGACTCTATGTAGTTCTCATTGTTCATACCTAGTAAATGGTAACATCAACAAACTTATCAAACAGATGCGTGTTGATTTGGCATGACGCAGTAGACAAATTATTGGAGGGGTGGACACAGCTACACAAATTATAACAGCATAATCTCTAAAAGGGATTTGGTACATTGCTTCAAGAAGCGGTGTCATATGCACCACTTTTATTTTCTTGTGTGGTTAACTTTCGTTTGTCATTTGGATGATATCAATGACAGAATTATATTAAATTGAACAAAAAATTATAAGTTAAGTGGGAGTCTTTTGAACTCTCAAAGCCATGTTTGATAAATCTTTGAACTTGAATAAGTATCCAATAGTTTCTTAAACTTTCAATATTATTTCGACTTATTAGACATTCTTTTTAATCACGGACCTATTAAACACAAAAAGATTCAATTGGTAATTTAATAAAATATACAACTTTTGATTTTAAATCGTTCTAGAACACGTTGATAAGGTTCTAATTCTATTTTAATATGTGAATATTTTTTCTATAACCCAACTTTTTTTTTATCCCAAAAAAAGTAGAATTTGTAGGGACAAAAAGATTTGGTAATTGGGAGAAAGAAGCCAAATTGGGTTTAGTTTTGCTTCATAAATATTTAATCCTCTTCTACTATATCCATTATTTTGTCTACAAAACAACAAATTAAGATAAGATTAATTGGCCATGTGGCCAAGTCAAATTGGCCAAATATTTAAACCACAAGTTTTTGGAAGCAAGAAATCTACATATTCCAAAGCTTATATTATAGTTTAATATTGATTTACCAACTAGCACACTTTGGAACATTTAATGTAAATTATAATAAAGTCACCAACAGATGGACATTTTTTTTCTGTCTTATTATTATTATTATTATTATTTTTGTGGTTGGCAATATGCAAGGCAAGTAGGTCACTTTTTTCCCCTTTTTTGACATGTGTTGTTGACTTGTGGTCTTAAATTAAATGAATGTTATCCCAAACGACAACGTTTAGCTGCCTAAGCATGTGGAAATGAAGTACTTGATGGGACTAGGA